TTAACCCTTCATCAATGTCTCACAATTGAACTCTGAACACATAAATTTACCGATCATATATATATATATATATATATATATATATATATATATATGTATATATGTATATATGTATGCATATGAAGCTTTGGTTACGTCACGGCCTATGCGCGTCACATGCACCATTACGATGTTCCCGTGCTCTTATCATTTCTCCGTTAACTACTATTGTTGCAGTCTCCTCTATCAAAATTGACATCCATTAACAATTTATTCCACTAATACCGAATCATTCCATCTTCCATTTAATGATCAATCTTATGGCAAAGCATCTATTACATCATACACTATTGAACACATTAGAGTGCTTTTTTTTTACATATTTAGTACTAATCATGAAGTTCAATAAATAAAATTCGAAATTAAATAAAATTCAAAATTATTTAATTTATTCTACCCTCGTTTATTATTCTACTATTACTATTCTATTACTTTTATGTACGACTAATATTTGATAATAGATAATTAATAAATTTCTACTTATGTCTATCTATAAATTTATGTTGATGCACAAATGCATTTGCATATTTGAATATTTATCATGTTAATATTATTTTTCTCCTCTCAGAGAATCTATAATCTAGAAAATTGTACATAAAAATTCTTTTATAATTATTTCAAACGTTATCGGTAAAATTATAATGCAAATAAAAAGACAAAAACAACAACAACAACAACAAAAAAAAAAGAAAAAGAAAAAGAACAAAAGACAAGGTTCCCTTACAGCATATTCTATAAACAAAAAAAACTTCTTTATTATTCGCGGCGTTGTATTTTGTGATTTTTTTTTCTCTTTCTTCTTTTTTCTGTTTTTTTTTTTTTTTTTTTTTTTTTTTTTTTTTGTTTGACATATGCTATCTTGAGCATTATCCGATACACGTTTATATTTACTACTATACAGCAAACATTGTTTCATACAAATTATAAAAACGGGAGATAATGCTAGTAAGCCTTAATTTAAAATTTAACAGTTTGGGATGCGAGGGAAATTTATAATATTCATTATAATCGCAAACGAGTGAAATTATTAAATAAGATAAAATAATTGGCGAAAAGTCATTTTGATACAATGGATTTATAATTGAGAGTATCGCGACGAAGCAATGAGAAATACAAAGAAATGATCAATTTTCTTAAATATCTTTGATAAATATATTACGACCCAACCAAGAATACAATTGTTCATGGCCCCATACCGATACCATTTTTTTTTCCCATATCCCGCAAGCTTTGCCTAATCACATTTAGATTTTGCAATATATAATGTCGACTTTATTTTACAAGAGCATCGAAATATCTCATTAGAGCTCCAATTGATAATAGATTGTAATTTATAAGTTGGGACTGTAGGGAACTTATGCTGGCTATTTGAAAAACCATCGAGTACATTCCGATTATCTACGAGATAATTAAGCGCAATGCCATTAATACGCTATTGGTACGCTTTTGCAACCAATGATTAATAAAGCTAATGTGTTCTCAAATTTTCGTTGGAAATGGAAGGCGAAATTACGATGGAATAAAGATTGTAAAGGCCAAAGGAACCTAAGGTTTGTCGAATTCAAACCACCACTCGAGCCCGCATCTCGAGCATCTCATTTACCGTAAGGGAACGGCGGCGGCTGCATATCTTATGAAATTCATTTTCCGACGAGCAGTCATTGCATCCAGTGCGCGGCGCCGCAAACATAACCGACAACCAGCCGCTTGCTTAACTCACCCAAGTGCGATAGACAGCGGCTGAGTGATAGGAGAGGCCGAGATAGACAGAGAGGGACGGGAGAGGGACGGGAGAGGGACGGGGGCGCGAGCGAAAGAAAGAGAGGCCGCGATTGTCGGTGCGCGCGTCTATACGCTTGAGACGTGACTACGCATTATATATGTATAATATACCAAATGGGCTACAACGCGGGCGCGTGCGCACATCCGTAGCTCCACGACACACAAATTATACGTTTGTTCGTTCGCTCGTATTTGCAGATCACGTACAAGCTCGTAGCGGTTTGTTTGACGAGGGTTAGTAGCCCTAGCTCTAACGATTAATCACTCGCTATTAATTAACCGGGAATCGTTGTTGCTCTCCTCCCGCGCAACCGCATCACCTCCGACATCCCCGCCCCATTACCATTCCCTACCCAATCTCTAATCCAGAAGGCCCGCGGCCACGGCCCCAACCCCATCGGCCTGCCGCAGGGTCAGAGGCTTTACCCGCGTCACTTTACCCTTCTTTACTATTACATTTCATCTCTTCGCCGACTTTTTCGCAAACAAGTGCTTGTCGGCACACTTGGAACGGATGTCTGCGTGGTTATTAATTTAAGTGGCGGTTAGCGGAACTAACGGAAATGGTTATCGTTTCTCTTCTTACGCTTCTCCCTTTTTCGTTTTTTCATCTTTATTCTCTTCTCTTTTCTTTTCTTTTTCTTTTTTTTTTTTTTTGTCTTTTGTTGCTCTATTTATTTATTAATTTTTTTTAATCTGTTCTCAGCCAAGCTCGCGTTTAAAGTCAATTAATTACCAGGCTTTCGCAGCTGCACGACGGCGAATCCGTGACTTTTATCGCGTCGAGGTTAGTTAAGGATTAGAGTGTTTTCGATGAGCGGAGACGAGTGGAAATATTCGCGGGAATCCGTGGATAACTGGAAAATAATTTTTACCGACTGCGCGGTTGAATATTTAATTTTTCGATGCTACGGAAGCGCAACCACCACTAGCCAAGCCAATCTTATTGCGTGCTATTGTTAGTTATCGCGAATAGATTTTTTAATGTCTTGATGAACACTTGAGAGATAAGATTCCAAAGTAAATCGGATGCATCGTGTCGCTACTTGACGTAAAAATAGCGCGACTTTTTTTATTAAGCATAATGCATTTTAACTTATAATTTTGTATTTCCAGTGGTAACTCGCCTAGCAATTAGATGAAAGATAAAAAAAAGAAAATATATATATATATATATATATATATATATATAAGTTGCTAGCATTTGAAAACTAAGCCCAATTTGAAAAACAAACTGAGACAAAATAATGAGAGGGAAAAGACGAGAGCGAGGGTACCTTATGGTATGTAAATAAAACTAAACAGTCTCGGCAATACGCATAATTGTTAAAACATTGCTTTTTTGCTTTTTTTCTCACTCGGTAAGCTATCATTAGTTTATTTTCTTCTACATTTCTCAATCTGCTTTCTGGACAACGAGCATGCAACGTGGAATTACATAAGCGAGAGAGCAAAGATTTTCCCCCAAACAACTGGAGCGCGCATTTGTCCTTGTCCCCCTCACCTAGCCACCCCCAGCCACGTCGCCACCCCTACATCTTCGAAAATCTGACTTAACAAGACATTCATTTATACGTAAAAATAGCACCAAAGACATCTATCAGCCAGTAATATTAATCGTTAAAGTAATCGAGGAAACGATAGTAGTAAAAAGACCAATAAAAAACAAAAAAAAAAACAAAAAAAAAACAAAAAAAAAAGAGAGAGAGAGAAACTTTAATCCACCTCGCAAAGCTCAACAAGTCGTGGGACACTGAACGGGATACGCAAAAGCGCGCATCGTCTCTCCTAATCCTAGCAAATTGATTTCGAGGCCTGGACTCGCGACGTCGACGTCGCGCATCGCGGCCAACCACCCTGGCTTCCTAGGCACTGCCCTCGCGGTTTCACCCCTTAACTTTTACGAGCTCCCGGCCGTCCATTAATTATTATCAAGGGGTGCGATCCGTCGCGGTGGTGGTGTCCCTCGGTGCTTACCACCTCGTCCAGTCGATGCGCGTAGAGTCGCGTAAATAGGCGAGGCACGCGACTCCCGGACTTAACGGGACTCTTGTCTCTTATACAGGTGATTTCCGGCTCGATGGTGACGATAGCTCAGACGCTTAACGAGCCGCCGCTCGAGCAACTTCGTTCGAGGCAGTTCGCCTACTCGTAATCCCGAGGAGCTTTACTCACTCAGGAGCCTGGCTCCTCTGGCTCCTCTGGCTCCAAGTGGCAATGGATGCTGTATCGGATTTTAAAAAGAACTCTTCTCCCTCCCTATCGTCAGATTGGCATGTTTTTCCGATTGGTCTCCTTTTCCAATTTCAAGAATAATAATAAAAACAATAATCACAACAGCAACAACAACGACAACATTAATAACAATGGCAACAGCAACAACAATAGTTGGGATAATATTATTAGCGATAATAATATTATTTTCATTATGCTGCTGTAATTGATGCGTATTGAAAAGCAAAACTCAGCTCTAATAATTCACAATCGTGAAGTAAATATCAGTCAAAAATGTGATACGTCGATGTAATTCATAATGCAATTATTGTATCGGAAAATTTTCTTTCTTTATTTCATTTTGGACTATTAAAATTTATACAATTTACATTCAAATGAAAATATTAGCATTCATAATGTAGAATCACAATGATGTATTATTCTTATAGTCGTTGGGATGAACGTGTAAATTAATTAACAAAATATTTGTATTGTATGTTTTGATGGATATATTACATATTTCCCCTTTCATAATCTACAACGTAACGCGATCTGCATTTTTATGAATTTTAAATGGTAATGAGCGAAGCTTCCGTTGAACTCATTATATTCCCGGATAATAATTTTGCAATCCGTTCATCTCGCTCTCAACAGCCATTCGTATTTTTAATCGTTGGCCTAATAAAAGCTAAACGTGAAATTTTCATTAAGAGAGCAATTGCTAAATACATTTTACACGCATCGATCGATCGTTCGGGTAAGTAACGTGTGACGCGCAGCCGATACGTCACGTTTATTTGCACGCACAGCGTGACAAAAGTGCCGCCAGCGTTGAATATCCTTTAGCACCGCGAGCGCGCGCGCGCACGCGTACAGAAAACAGAAATAAATTAAGTACTCGTTATTGTAATATAGACGGTATAAATAATCTCGAGATGAATGGGTAATGTGGCAAGTGTACAGACCTGGTGGCGATAAGTGGGCAGGTGATGCTAGGGGAGGCCCAGGCCTCGGGACTCCAAGGCGCGCACTCGTAGAGCCTGAGCTCCCTACCGGAGACAGCCCCGAAGATGCTGCGCCATCCACCGGCGCATCCGGAGCCATAGCCACTTCCGGCGCAGCGCGAGGTGCCCGCACTGCTCCCGGCGCCGTCCTCGCTGCTTTCGCTGCTCGCTCGGCCGTTCTGCAACAGGCGTCATAAGGCTTAAGGCACAATGTCCTTATTAGCTCATCTCCTCACCTCCTTCACGCACAATTATTTGTATTTGTCTCCCGAGTTTATGCTTATCCGCCCGGACATTGACACGCTTATGCCACTCCGTATTTATGGCACTTTGTGCGTGTTCTGGACAATCGCACTTTACTATGTTGACTCTATCGATGATAAGGAATTTGTCCGAGCAGTGCTCGAGCGCCGCTCAACACACTGTCGTTTTTCACAAACTCAAGCCACATATTTTGCTCTATAATAACAAGCACTACGACAATAATTACAATGGCAATAAGTGAGAGGACGGCTTTCGTCACTTTCGTACTTTTCAATATTAATTAGTATCCTCCTGCATAGTTATAAATATTGGGACTTAAAATAGTTTCGTTTTTATCGAGTCGTCCGATAATATAATTAGATCATAAAGAATAATATCTTTGTCAAAATGAGCATTTATTTGTCGTAGTCATTCCGGCTCTGCCTGCCTCTATCAAAATATCAGAAGAATTCTCTTTGCGCTTCCAAGATTTTATGTACACACGCGCGCTCGCGCACAACCACAATATATATATATATATATATATATATATATATATATATATATATATATATTTATATATATACCATAAAGCATTTTTAAACTAAAGTCAGAACTAAAATTGAGCCAAGACATTTCTTAATCAATAAGTGATTTATATAGAAATTAATTCATGGTTAATCGATGCTCTTTCGCAGAACATTCTTATGATTATTATTTAATATTATGATATGTCGCTGAAGCTAGAAATTATTAAATAATTACTAGTGAAACAAATGCAATTATATGGCAGAGGATTTTTCGAAGAGATAATAGAAGAAAGTAACGAGTAAAAGTCTGTCGTCACGAGTGTTTCGTTGCTCGCAGACATGTTCAAGATGCGCAGACACGATAGAGCAAATCGAATCGAATACTTAACCGTCTGTAAGATGAAAATTCGGGTTTTAATACTAAAAATTATTGCTATATACATAAAAACATATGTACACGTTTCCCTAAACCTCCCCCCTCACACGTACATCTTGCCATCGTATTCATAAATAAATTATTTAAACTTCGTGCTTGTTTAAAGAAACTAATGTCAAACAATAATAAACATTATCCATTACATTTTATGTAAAATTTTTGCTTATTAATGGGCTAGAATATTAGAGAAAATGGAATAAGACGACGATAGTGGCATTCGATACCGAGCAATCAAGGATTTTTATTTACATGGAAAGTAAGGGATAATTCAATTTTTAACGTCAGATAAACTTATTATAGAGAAAAATTATTATCTTTCTTTTCTCGCGCCACGATCCATCGATAAATTAAAAATTCAATTTTCTTTTCCACGCGAATCAAAAACCTATTATCTCAATAATCAAACTTTATAATTAAAAGACAATTATAGTCTTTAATAATATTTGTAATCGATAAGGTATTTGGAGGTGTTCAATTATGAAAGCATTGCCATTGAAATAAAATTCAAGGCTCAAAATTCCTTATCTAATTAAATTATCTAATTAAAATTGCTTTTTGATTTGTTTAATTTAATTTAATTGTTAAATTTAATTTTATGTTTATTCCAAATACTTCATACACTGCTACGCACAACGAAGGTAACAACATATGCCTTACAACACACCGAGAGCATTAAAAAATCCTTTCACAACCTACATTACTACTCCCAATTATCCATTACTATTATCTATTTTGGGCTTTGGGCTTGGCAAGCTACGCAAATTGTGCGTCCATCGCTCAAGAAGACAAGGGAGATAATGAGTGATTGTGGTCGGAAATTTGCGAAGAAATGCGCGTCATCGGTCGCTACATTTATGACATTTGCTTTACGAAGGCTTATTGCGAGTGGCTTTAACAAAAGAATGTTTGCACAGTTCTTGGTTATCGCCGCGGGTACGTTTAATCGAACCGTCAACCTCTTGACGTAGCGGCAAAGAACTCCTGCCTCACTCCACAACAAAACTACGATTACGTCCGTACGGTTTTTCATGGTCAGAGGCTAATCGAGAGAGAAATGCACTGCCGAGGTGACTCGGACATTTTATTGGATGGCACGAAGCTCACGTGCTCATGTGGGATGGGGGGGAATGGTACGATGGGACGGACGTGGTGATGGTCGGTGGAGGGGCGAGGGAGGGGGGGGGGGAGACGATATGGGACCCGACACTTTTTCAGATGTAACGAGACGCGCGATTTCTATATGTTTATTACCCGGTAGCACGAGGGACGGCACGTTGATTGGAGTAGCTGGTTCAGATTATGAGAATAATTGACTTTACGTTCGTCCGCGGTAAATCGAAATTTATAAAAGTCTCGGTGGTGCGTTGCGCAATATTTTGCCCAGTGTTAAGGATGAAAATTTTATAGGTAAGAGTCGACGTTTTTGTCATAGTATGGATTATGTAACATTTATCTGCTATTAGCATATGATTATCAAATTATTAAAATTACCGTGTAATTCGATGTATTGAATAAATTAATTTCGCACGTTAAGTTTAAAATGAAATATGAAACGTCAATCATATTCATCTGGTATGAGTGTGCAAAATATAGAAACAATATGGCGAGAGCCGTGGAATCGAAATAATGTATTAGCGTACCAATGGATATTTATCAAGTAAATCAGATGCTATAAGTAGGTAATTATTGGCCAGATATCATTAGAAATAGATTATTTCACTATTAATGATGGATTGCAACCATTTTTTGTTTTTGTTTGATTAATTGTATGCAAATGTTAGGGACCTTTAACGATATGTTCAAGAAATTTTTACAATAAAATACGTATAATTTATACATTGTATAATAAGTGATAAAGAAAATTGGATAAAGATAAATTGCAACTTAATATCCAAGAAAATACTATTCAACAAAAATACTATTTAATATTGGTTTTTTAGCTACATCCTTACGCGATTCATTATATTCTCCCAACACAGCGATACTTTTATCTCAATGAACGTCATTAAAAATGCAGGTAAATATTTAACAGCTTTGGCTCCGTAATTATAGTAATTATTAAGAATATTCACACAAGATGGAATATAATAAAATTGAAAGAAACTTTACTTAAATTAATTATTTAAATTAATTTTACTCTATAATTTTTTATGCAAAAATTCATGTAAATCATATAGGCAAAATCATAATTGTCAAATTTAATTTAATTACTTGATAACATTTTTTACACACTCTGTAAGCACACCTCTCGTCATTACATCATTTACGTTATATTTATTTGAAAGATTAAAACTTTTTAGTAATGATAATTATAAATATTTGAGATTGTCTATAAGAATTTCCTTTCCTCTATAGCATTTCAAGATAATTCGTAAATTTATATAAACTTTCATGGATTCTTTTATTCATTTTGTAAAATCAATTTATAAATCTTAATGGATAAATTTCAACTTTAGATAGATTCTGCCCAAATTAGCTTTACCTATAATATTCAAATTATTATTTATTTATTTTCTTTTGTTTTTATTTTTGTTTTTTGCTTTTTGTTTTTTGTTTTTTTTTTTGTTTTTTTTTTGTTTTTGTTTTTTTTTTAACGCATATTATATCCTGAACGATAAATTCTTTATACATTAAATAAATAATAAGTAATAAATAAGAAAAAGTGAAAGATTCGCTCTTGGACTAATGTTTTTCACGAATTCGTTTCCTACTTCTTCAAGGTGCAATTACTCGGTCTGGCTTGAAAAATAAACCTTATATCATTCGTAGTACGTAGTGCGAGTTTCGCCCTTTTAATCTTCGTTAACGCAGAGAAGATAAGCTCACCTTTCTCCTGCTCCATCAAGTTTCACTAAAAGAAACTCCCTACAAACATTTGCCAGTTGACTTTAGCTATTTCCCAATGCTATAAAAGACAAATGCCCTAAGAACGGTCATCAACATCATATTATAAATAATCGTATTAGAAAGCTGCTATTCTTACCAGTGTGATAGACTAGACAATTCTCATCGACATTCTCGCCCGTGAACATTATATTCAATCAAACAATCTATATATTGTCATTGGGCTACGAAATCAAAGAGTAAGCTTTAAGCTTTAAGTTGGAGGGACGGTGAAATTTTTAATGCGAAAGCCGCTTATATTAATTTTACTCGCAGCTCGCTTTCGCTTAAAAAGTGAGAAAATTTTGAGGCTGAGTGGCAATGGACCTTCAAGAATAAACATTCGAGATGCCTGAAATTTTTCGTTATTTCTTACTAGCAAAGGTTATGGAGAGAGATATCGAGATAAAGCATCACCAAATAATCAAAGCAGCCCATAAGAATTCGTAAATCACGAGAATCGTTGAAGTAAGTGGGACTCAAGCTTCCGTCTAAAAGCTCGCATAAATATTTAATTTTCTAGTAATCTAATCTCTCGATCAGACCTACGCTCAGCTCAACTTATCTCGCTAATCATCATCAAATACGGTGAAACAATTGTTTTTCTACTCCTCCGTACCGTAACTCAACGGATATCTGCCGCGAGAGATATGGAGATGCGATTATCCAACCACGTCATGTCCACGTACTTCCGTAACCGCGAAATCGCGTGCGCAGGGTATCGTGCAGTCAAACCTACCCGAGAACCGCATAGCCGTGCGGTGTTATGCGGGATGGCCCTGGTCGGTCTACCTTTAATTGGCCCCTCCTCCGCTCGGAGGCTCCCAAACTTTGCTGACTTTGCAAATGGCACGGCCCTATCGTTATCCATGTGGCTTCCGTGTTTTCTTCGACAGAGTCGCGCCCTTTACACCCTACCGAGCAGCATCCTCGCAAGAAACTTCGCATTGCAGTCATCGAGACCCGCGGCCGACTGTTATTTCATGACACTCGTCGAAGATTTTTCGGGCTTTAATGGTATTGTCGAGGAGGCACAAAGGGAATATTCGATTTCGTCAATGCTGCTTCAGCAAATTTATTTCTTACA